CCCCGGGCCCCTCCACCGTGGGGGCCCCTCCTAGGGGTCCCAAGACCAGGGGCAGGTGCATAGTGGCTGAAGACACTGGTGGCTGAGTGGCAGGACCAGGGGGGCCAGGAGGACCAGAGAGATTATTGCTTGGGGGCAGAGGAGGGGGCGTTAAGGCATCACTACAGTGGAAGAGAGAGGGGTCTGAAGGTGGTGAGGAGGAGGTGTGGGGGGCTGGGGAAGAGCCCAGGTCAGGGGGCACCAGGCTGGAGCGGAGGGCGGCCCCCCAGTTGTAGGAGGGAGCATTGAGGCTGATAGCCGGTGGAGGAGGTGGGGCTGGAGAGGGGGCGTTGCCCCTTGGGAGGAAACAGGGGCTGCTGCTGCCTCCGGAGGGGATGGGGTCAGGAAGCCTAGGTGGTGGGAAGAGCCCCCCAGGGCCTGCTAGAGGGGGGAAGGCCTGTGGAACTGAGGGTGGTTCTGGGGGAAGGGAGCCAGGGCCCCCATTAAGTGGAGTTGTAGGGGGGACTCGACAGGGAGGGCGGGCAGAGGGGGGCCCTGGGGACACAGTGTGGAACATTTGGGGGCTTGCTCCCTCTCCTGCAATAAATGAGAAAAGAAGGGTCAGCCGGTGGCTCCCCTTCCAACCCCTTTCTTTTGTCTTCCCCATCCCATCTCCCATAACCTCGCAACCTCCCTGTGCCTTCGGGCGGCTCCCCCCTCCACCCCTCCTTGCTCCCTCTCCTGGAGCTCCTCCCACCGTCCCTCCTCCAGGCCCTTAAGTTTTCCTCAGTTGTCAGGAGCGTGTGGAGAAGACTCACCAGGAGAAGAGTGTGAGCAGGTGGTCTCCATGCTGCGGTACAGAGTTGCCATGGCAACGGCTTTCCGCCGGTGGTTGCACAGCTTGGTCATGTCCTCCTCTGATGCGGGCCCCACCCCAGCCCCACCCGGGGTCACCGGGGCCAAAGGGTCAAAGTTGAAAACCTGTAAGGCGGGAGTCACGGACAGGGACCCTGAGAGAGCGGAATCTGTGAGAAGAGCTACCACGGTCAGTGACTCTGGTCGCAGGTCTCCTGGCTTATCCCTGTATTCTCCGGCTCCCCTCACCACTCTGACCTTGGGGACATTGAGTGGACACTCCAGACCGCACTTGCAGGTCCCATCGCTGAGGAGGTAGCTCCGGGTTTGCTCCAGGGAAGACAGCTCTGTGCCACTTGGGCTGGGAGAGCACAGGGTCAGAGAGCACGGAGTTAGTTGACATGCCCAAAGGACAGTTCCTTAGTCAGAGACCTTCCTAGGGAGCACGGAGGATGAAGGGTGTGGGACGAGGAGGAGGGAGGACAGATGTAAGGGCCCGCGACACTGAGAGCAGAAAGGCTGAAGAAGGAAGGACAGGGAGGAGTACCGGGCTACCAGAGACCGGGCGTCGGGAGGACAGGCGGCGAGAGCGCTGGGGATTCGCACCTGATATAGAGCACAGCACCCTCTCGAACGCAGCGCTGCCAGCCGATGGGGACAGATGTGGCCACAGGGCCCCCAGCTCTGTCTGCTCCACTGCTCTCATTGCCCCCATTCATTGTGTGTAATCAGCTCCCACGTGCCTGGTAACACACACGTCCGGGCGGGCATCAGGGTGCGCGGGGTACCTGCGGGACTTCTCCAGCAGGGCCAGGATGCCGGGAAGACCCGAAAGAACCCAGGGGCCTGGGAAACCCTCAGGGAGCTGGGAGAGAAAACCGAGAGCTGTCTGCCATCCCGTGATGGCTACCTGAACATCTCTGCAAACATTGTGGGGTCCAGTCTAGAGCCGGGGCCTCCGGCTTAGCCCACACCTGCAACACAGGAGAAAGGGGGGGCTGTCGGGAATCTGCCCAACTCCGAGAGCACCAAAGCCCAGGACACTGTCCAGGAAAAGATCTCAGGGATCTGCTGGTGAGTCCACAACCGTCCTTTCCAGGTATGGGCCCCGAGGAACGGGAGGATCCAAGCCTCAACAACTCCCCGGGGCCATGGAATCAGAGCCCAACCCCTGGACATAAAGGGCAAAGCCCCTTTGTCCCATCAGAGACAATCCATCCTGGAACATGGGCAAATTCCCATAATGCCAGGCCACTAGGAGCTTCCCAGAGCGTCTGGTCCCCTGCTGTTCCCTACCCCCCAGGAAGATCATATAAAAGTACGGGTTGCCCCACAGGTCACCAGGCGGTCGCCCAACGGCCCTCGGGGTGGTACGAACAGAAGCCCCCATGCCCGCCCCATTAGACGATCACTGATCTGCTTCACTGGATCTTCCTAGGAAGGGTTGCAATCTAGCTCTGTCTTCTCCCAGAATCCCAAGAAGCTCCTGATTTCCCCCCAAGCCCGAGGCAAGGGGCTTCAGCACCTCCTACCCCACGGGCTTCAAATTGGCTCCAAGTGGGGACGCAGCCCCCCCGGCCTGCAAGCAGCGCCCCAGCCTCACCATCGCTCCCACCCCACACCGGCGGCTCCTAAACTTTCCCTCTCGTAACAAGGCGCCCTGTCACCCAGCCTGCTTCCCTCTGCCTGGGGAGGAGGGGAAGGCGCACGAAGTAGGAAGGAACTTGGGGAGAGGGCGGGCGGAGGGTGGGCGAAGCACTGAGGGAGGGAGGTGAAGAAGGCAAAAGTCAAGCAGTGCGAGGGAGAGGCGACGGGGGCAGGTGAGGGCGGGGGAGCGGGGATGGGGCCGGGGAAGGGGCCGAGGACGCGGGGGGCAGAGGGTAGGGACTGCAGGGGAGGGGAGGGGGAGGGGCGGGGGGGCCGGGCCCTGCACTCACCGCGGCCCATGGCTCGGCCGGCCCCGCCCTGCGCAGTCGCGGCCCAGAGGGTGAGTGGGAGGGAGTGGGAGGAGGGTCGGCGGAGCCCGAGCCTCCGGTACGGCCCCGGCCGGTCCTAGCAGGAAGCGCCGCCGCCGCCGCCGCGGATCACCGAGCGGCCTCCCGCGCATGCGCCATGGGGGCCAGGGGCAGCCCTGGGGATTCCGTTCCCAGAAGGCACCGCGCAGGCTGCCGCCGCCGCCGCCGCCGTCGCTGCCGCCGCCGCCGCCGCTGCCGCCGCCGCCGCCGCCGCTACCCGGACGGGAGAGGGGCGGGGCCGGGCCCCCGCCCAGCGGACAACGACGAGCCAACAGGAGGGGCCGCAGTGCGCATGCGGGAGCGCGCCTACCCCTCCCCCACAACCCCCCATTAATCCCCAAGAGAACAAACACCCCACGCGGCCCCCCCGCCCTCCGCGGAAGGATCTGAGCCTCTTCCCAGGCCACCGGCGGCCAATCCCAGCCCTCCCCGGGGAGGGGCCCCTTCCAAAGCCACAGTCTGTCGGGGGAGCCAGGAATGCCGGGTCCGGGAGGGGCCGGCCCCAAAAGATGAAAGTCGCGACTTGCCCTGCCCCACCCCAAAGGCTTCCCGGGTAGTGTGCTGGGACTTGACCCGCCTCCCCAGGTCAACATGTCACAACACAACCTCCGCCTGTCAAGTCACATGACCTCTGCCTGTCACTGACAACCTGGTCATGTCTTTGGGCCAGGAGAGACCATCTGGTCCAACCTACCCCCACCCCCATCTACTGAAGGGGAAATGGAGGTCTGGAGCAACGGAGCAGGCCCGGCCGAGGACCTGTCACCGTCACACCACCACCTAAACCTCCTTCCAGCCACAACCGGCCTTGTGACAGATTCTACTTAACTCTGGCTGCCCCCGTGAGGGTATGACAGTGAATACAACCGGCCGCCACATGGCATCTTTTTTCTACCTAATGGCACAAGAAAAACGTTTGCATTTTAAGCGATGCTTTTCACTTTTGTTTAAGCTGCCTCCAAGTTCATAGTGCTCTCGTTTTACCTTCACAACTCGTCATCCTTTATTTACAAACAAGAACGGTTGTGGCACAGACATTAGGGGGCAAGTAAAGGGGCAGGTGAGGCCAGACTCTGGGCTCCTGACAACCCGGTGCAAGGTGGCTGCGCGCTCAAGTGCACCCAACGTCCCAGGCAACGAGGCTCTAAGGTCGCCCGAGCACCGAGGCGGCAGGCGGCGGGTGCACGGCTCCTCACGCAGGAGTCACAGGACCGGCGCGGCTGGTACAGCGAAAAGGGCGGGTCTTGATCTTTGGTGGAGGCACCAGAGCACGGGGCGGGGGGGGGGGGGGCTGAGAATCGCGTCCACCGGGCCAAGTCCTGAATTCTGGCATGCTGAGCGCTCATCAGAAACTTCACAAAGATAAAAGTTAGGGGTGCTTTTCGGCGAGGAGCTGAAAATGACCATCAAAAGTACTCAAGTTCCTCGGCCCCTTCTGGGGGAATTAGGAAGCTAAACGGGATCTTTTTATGCGCCTACTCGAGGAGACCTTAGGCGGTCCTGTGGCTGCATGCAAACTTTCAAAAGAGATTGGCTTAGAAGACCTCGTGCCCACTAACTAGGAGGGGACCGAGCAAAATGGGAGCCCCCCATGCAGACGGCGAGGCGGGGGCTAACGCCAGGTGGGCTTGGAATAAGGGCGCCGAGGAGGACGAGCCGCAGCGCGGCTTCGCAGGCAGCCTGAGGGCGGCCACGGTTGGGAGCCGTTGGGGCCGTTGGGAGCCCGGCGCTGGCGCCCCGCCCTCTCCTCTCCCCCACCCCCCCGCACCGCCCACCACCCTCGTCGGCCCCTGCGCGTGCGCGCCGAGACACCGGTTGCCAAACATTGCATCATCCCCGCCCCCCTCTCCTCCCCTCCCCCCCAGCTCTCCCCTCCGCGCGCGCGCATGACTCACTCGCCTCCTCCGCGGAGCCTCGTGACCCAAAGCCACTTCCGGGTCCGACACCACCTCTACCCCCGGGCCGGCGGGAGCGAAGGGGGCGGTGCCGCGGAGGCTGCGGAGTGGCGGGCGCGGGGGGCGGGGCGGGGCCAGCGCCGGCGTGCCGCGCCCTGATTGGCTAGCTTGCGGGCCCGCCCCCGAGGGGAGGGGAGGGCAGGGCCTCCTTAAAACAGCCGCGCTCGGGCCTCCGCGGTCAGAGGCTTGAGTGTAAGGCACAGAGCGGATCATGTTGAAGATGAGCGGGTGGCAGCCACAGAGCCACAGTCAGAGCCGGAACCTGAGGAGAGAGGCGAGTACCAATCCCACCTGCTCTTTACCCTCTAGTACTCGGGGATGCTGGTTGTCCCTTCGAAGTTGGGGCATCAGCTGCTCAGGATGCGGCCCCACCCCTTCCCCGACGAAGTTAGTGACAGTCCGAGGGAGGGACGGGAAGCATCCTTTATCCGGGAGTGGTGCTTACAGACCTCTCTTCCCTCGGACGGGAGCGGCGCCCCACCGTGCCCGGAGCGCGGGCCCGGCTCTGGGCCGTCGGGCTAAGGGGTCCGGATGCCCTCGGGAGACTCCCTGTCTTCCGCTACTGCCCCAGGCCGCCTCCTTGGGCCTGTCCGGTGGGAGGCGGGGCGGCAGGACACTCCCCCACGCCGAGACGCCTGGATGGCTCTGGCTCACGCCCCTGCCGCCACTTTCCCACCAGCGGCCCTGCCCCTACCCCACCCCCAATCCTGTCCCAGCCCAGCGTCTCAGGGCCAGAGTGGCCACGTCGGTGGCTGGAGCTCCTGGATCCTGCACAGGACAGCCATTCGACACCCTAACAGAGAAGAGAACCTTAAGGAGACAGACTCCAGACTTTGGGAGGAGGAGGGATGCCAATGGCTAGGGAGCAGAGAGATGGGTTTTCCCATTCCCCCAGAGGTCCCGGGGGCCTCCTGCACAAGAGCATTCTGGATCCCTTAAGTGTGGGAAGCCATTTGGGGTCTCCCCAGTGTAGGGTCCTTCCGCGGGGATTGGTCCCTGCTGCTTTCCCCGCGTCCTGCCTCCCAGTTAATTTCTGTGTAACCGTTGCATCAGGCCAGCCCCCTGTTTGGCTCTGCAGCCCTCTAGCCTGGGGCCCCACTGCTGATGAAAGCGGCATCCCACACGCTGGAAGGCAAGGAGGGTCCCCCAGGGAGGACAGCCCTGAAGAGAAACACTCTGGGAGATATTGCATCTCCAGTCCCCAGGGCTGGGCAGCTGCTGCTCTGCCTCTGGGCTTCCTCCTCCCTTCCCTATGAGACACTGGGGAGAATTCTTTCATTCTTCACAAATTACTTATTACACACCTGCTATGTGCCACACATTTTAGGCCCAGGATGCATCTACGAACAAGGAAAAGATCTGTTCTCACAGAGCTTACATTTCGTGGGAAAAGGTGCACAGCGAACAAATATAGAAGTGCCAAGGAGAAAACCAAAGCATGGAAGGGTAGCGAATGCCCAGGGTGTTTTACCTTGGGTCATTAGGGATTCTCTCACGGAGGTGACATTTAAATGAAACCTCTGAAAAGAGGCAAAGTAGTAAGCTGTGCAGATATGTGAAAGGAAGAGCTTTCCAGGAGAAGGAACAGTGAGAACAGAGGTCCTAAGGTGGGAGTGTACAGAGTTTAGGGAGCAGGCCAGCTGGACGGACTAGAGGAAGAGTAGTCAATGAGAAACCCAGGGGAGGGAAGGAGATTGTGTGGGGCCTTCTAAGCCGTATTAAGGACCTTTAGCCTTTAATATTCATGAACTTTAGTCCTTGAAGAGTTTTGAACAGAATGACAGGAATTGATTCGAGTTTTAAAAGGCTCACTCCAGGGATCCCTGGGTGGCGCAGCGGTTTGGCGCCTGCCTTTGGCCCAGGGCGCGATCCTGGAGACCCGGGATCGAATCCCACATCGGGCTCCCGGTGCATGGAGCCTGCTTCTCCCTCTGCCTGTGTCTCTGCCTCTCTCTCTCTGTGACTATCATAAATAAATAAAAATTAAAAAAAAATAAAAAAAATAAAAGGCTCACTCCAGCTCGTGTTGTGAACAGACTTGGGGCAGGGTGGCAAGAGCAGAAGCCGGGAACCTGGTAATCCAGCAGAAGAGAGTAACTTGACCTAGATTGCAAACAATGGAATTCTTGAGAAGTATTCAGGTTCTGGTTTTTGAAGAATGAGTTTAAAAATTGGGCTGGTGGTTTGAATTGGGTGTAAGAGAGGAATGAAGGGCAGTACTAATGCTTTTGACTTAAGCACGTAGAGTTGCCATTTACTGAGATGGGGAAGATGGAGGGAAGAGGTGAGCAGAATTTGTCTTTGGATATATGAAGTCTGAGATGCCTCTTAGACATCCAAAAGCAATAAGCAGCTAACACAGTTGTAGGTCCCAGGAGAGGTCGAGGCTGGATATGTGCATTTCCAAGATGTCAGTGTGGGAATGGAATTAGGAAAATAACTTGATTTGTTCCCTTCCCTGTCATCCAGTCTTTTCCCTGGCAGTTTGAGGCCTACCTTAAATTTAGAGAAAGTCAAGTTGGCCATGACTTTTTTATTATGTAATCAGGACTGCAAATGTCAGCAACTAAAAATAAAGGTCAGGCTCTCCTCTGTCCTTGGAAACGGCTGCAGGGACCACTGACTGTCCATACCTTGTAAGACAGAAGTGAGGAAAGACCAATAGGAGGCTGGAGATAAAAGGAACTGCTCCTCTCCCTTCCCAAAATGGCTAACCTCTGTCTTTGATCCCCACAGTGTTCCAGAAGGAAGTGTATCTTCATACATCACCACACCTGAGAGCAGGTAAACTTTTTTTTTTTTTTTTTTTTTTGAGAGCAGGTAAATTTAACTGTCCCTTTCCTAGAACCAATTTCTAAGAGATGCCGCTTAGGGTCCCTGTCTTGGGGCCCTAATAAGTTATGAAAACACCTAGAGAAGATAAGATAGAATTTGAATCTGAGCAGACTTTTGCTGACAGCCACATCCCTCCTGGCTTGCCCCTAACTAGGTGACCAAATCACTATTCTTAGAGCATGTCCTAATTGAAAGCTGGCTGAGTGAGCAGTCAGCCCCAACAAAGAATTGGTTTGTCTTACAAACCTCAGTCCCCATCAAGGTTAGACTCACCCAAAGGACTCCCCACACAGGAGAAAGGAACACAAGATGGTCTGATAATTGCCCCCTGGAAACTACCAACAGAGTCCCCCCAAGGAAGGCTGAGGACTTTTACCAGGATCCCATAAGAATGTGTATTCTACACCCATGCTGCTTCAAATGCCGGGCAAAAGCAGCAGAGAGGGAATACTAGTATACAACCAACTGATAGGGGCAGCCCCAGTGGCGCAGTGGTTTAGCGCCGCCTGCAGCCCGGGGCGTGATCCTGGAGACCTGGGATCGAGTCCCACGTCGGGCTCCCTGCATAGAGCCTGCTTCTCCTTCTGCCTGTGTCTCTGCCTCTCTCTCTCTCTCTCTGTGCCTCTATGAATAAATAAAATCTTGAAAGAAAGAAAAGAAAAGAAAACTGCTAGGGACGCCCTGCTAGGCACGCCGGGGAGGCTCAGCGGTTGGGTGTTTGCCTTCAGCTCAGGTCGTGATCCCAGGATTTGGGATTGAGTCCCGCATCAGGCTCCCTGCGAGGAGCCTGCTTCTCCCTCTGCTTGTGTGTCTGCCTCTTTGTCTCATGAATAAATAAATAAATCTTAAAAAAAAATAAAAAATAAAAAGAACCAATGATAAATTTTAAAGGGCCAAACAGTAAATGTTTTGGATGCTAACGTCTCTGCTCTTACAGCATGAAAGCAGCCATAAACAGTATGTAAATAAATACAGTTATGTTCCAATAAAACTTGACCTGCAAACAGGTACCAGGCCGGTCTGCCAACCTGTATAGACTAACTGCTTTGCGGAGTTGTTCCACTCCCACCCGGCCACCCCCACCCCCCACGCCATCCTAAGTATGTCCTTTTCCAGAGCCTGATCCAACTGCAGAGATGGCAGCTGAGTCACTGCCTTTTTCCTTCGGGGCACTGTCCAGCTGGGAGCTGGAAGCCTGGTATGAGGACCTGCAGGAGGTACTGTCCTCAGATGAAAATGGGGGTACCTGTGTTTCACCCCCTGGAAACAAGGAGGTGAGAATGCTATGCCTAAAGCTGGCAGGGTGGGAGGGTATTGCCCTTCCCTTCTCAACTAATGTCTACCCTGCCTTTCTTCCTTCCCTTGAAGGAAGAATCAAAAACCTTCACCACTCTCGACCCTGCCTCTCTGGCTTGGCTGACTGAGGAGCCAGGACCAGCAGAGGTCACGAACACCTCCCAGAGCCCTCACTCTCCAGATTCCAGTCAGAGCTCCCTGGCTCAAGAGGAGGAAGAGGAAGACCAAAAAAGACCTAGGAAACGGAAACAGAGTGGCCAGTCCCCAGCTGGGGCTGGAAAGCAACGCATGAAGGAGAAAGAACAAGAGAACGAGAGGAAAGTGGCACAGCTAGCCGAAGAGAATGAACGGCTCAAGCAGGAAATCGAGCGCCTGACCAGGGAAGTAGAGGCGACTCGCCGGGCTCTGATTGACCGAATGGTTAATCTGCACCAAGCATGAACAGCTGGGACCATCACTTCCCCCCTTGGGCCACTACCTACCTTTCACAGACATGGCTGCTGACTATCTTCTCCAGTGCCAATGATGTGACCCTCAACCCCATCTATTCAGTAGGGGGAAAGCTTGGGGTAGACAAGAGCATGTATATAGAGATTGTACATTTATTTATTATTGTCCATATCCATTAAAGTGACTTTCTATGAGCCAGGTTCTCACTTTCACTTTTTCTTCTTGCCTTTAGGGGTTTCCAGGGGTTTCCCCTCAGCTAAAGCCAGCTGTTTCTTCAGATCCAAGAGCTTAGCCACCTCCGCAGCAACCTGGTTCTTGTCTGCCTTTTGTGCTTTCAGTTCTCGGACAATGTTGCCCTAAGAAAAGAGCGGGTGGGGAGTAGCAGTAGTCAGACCAGGAAGGACCTACTTAGGAGTCCGCTCTTCCGGGCTCCCACAGGGCTCCCACTGCATACCTGTTTTGTCACTTCATCCATCAGCACTTGTATCTGCTGTGGGGCAGCTGCGGCCATAGCCTCTGCTGGCGTGGGGGGTGTCTTTGCCTGGAGAACAAAAAACAGTCACCACCTGCTTGGTAAGTAACATCTCAGGGGACTATGATGACCTCTCACTTCCAAGGGCTCTTGCTGCTAAGACAGGAAAGAAAAACCCTAAGGAAGGAAGCAGTGGAACCTGAGTGAGAACTACCTGAGGACACCAAGGACACGACACCGTGGCCGTTGCTGGGTGACAGCACAGTTGAGCTTTCTCACCTGGCCCCCACCAAAACGCTGCCTCAAACTTTCGATCTGGTCATTTTCCAATTTTTGGAATAAGGGGCTGACCTGTGAAGGAGAAATTCCATAATCACCCACTGATTAGGTAAAAACCCTCCCAGACTGTTCAGAGAGCCTCTCTACCCCAGTCACTGACATTCAGGAACTCCACATGTTTTAGAAGAAACAAATGAGCAAATACCTGCTGGCTTCTGTAAAGCATCCAGATAAAGCACTGGCAGCTCCCTCTGAAAGCCCAGAGTATTCATAAGGCCCGAGACCATTTAAACTATTTAAGGAGGCTCAGTTGACGCGAGAGTTAGAGGTGAACTTACTTTATCATCTCTCGTGTCAAGGAGGACACACTATCCTGTACTCTCCCTGTCTGCCTGTTGGCATTATGGAAACCAGGGGACCATGGGGTTTCTCAAACATGTACCGTAGGCCAATTAGTTTTATGTGCCACGTCCTGGGTTCTGGCATGAAGAGTGATGGTGGCAGACAGGCTAGATGACCTATTGGGCTTGTGAGCAAGTACCACTCAGAAACAATCTAAGTGCAGAGTTGGCGGGGAGTGGGGAAGGGGTTCAGAGAACAGCTGTGAGAGTCCTATGTCCAGGTTCTCTGACCCCACCTCAAAGGCTGCATGGCAAGAATTTTCAGAGGCCAGCCCCCAGACCTACTGTGCCAATCTGGTGTCCTGCTGGCAAGGTACACAGGAAGTCTGTGAGTAGGATGCTGCAAGCTGGAGGTGGGACCTGCAGCTGGGCCTGGATGGTGGTGCTAACCGTGGGCATGTACGGCTGGAGCATGACGGACAGCAAGGCAGCTATATTCACTGCCAGGCCTGTCACCGTCCCTGCCCGCTGCCTGGGGAAGAAGAGAGAGAAGTCAGAATTTCCAGATGACAGGGCCCACCGCCACTTTATTCCTGCCACCAAACTTACCTGTCAGCCTCGCTGCCTTTAATCCGCTTCCAAGGCTCATTCACCTGAATGTACTGGTTGCCATGGCGAGAGATGGTGAGGATACTGCGTAAGGCCTCCCGGATCCTGGAAGGGAGGAGGTAGGCCAATGTGTCAAGTCCCGGAGGGACCAGTATCGGGGTCTCAACATGCCAGCATAGACCACAGGATGAGACCAAGGTGCGGGTTACTTACCGAACCTTCTCCAGCAGCTGGTGATAGTGCTGGAGTTCCAAGGTGACATGCGCCAGCAGGCGCCGATCATCAGAAGTAAGCACCATCTCAGGCACATAACCCCCAAAAAACTTGGACACAAACATCCCAGCTCTTGATGGGAGTGGGAGTAAGGAAGGAGAGGAAAAAGAGGAATTACTGCCCAGTCTCTTTATAGAAATTTGACCTGATTTTCATAATTCTCCATTCTCTTAGAACTGACACCTGACTCCATCAAGCTAAAAGGCAAAGCTTAACTAATTCATTCCTTGTTCTCTCTCTCCCCTAAGAATGAGAAATCTGATAAAGTTAAGCAACTTCATTTTATTTTTAGGAATTAATACAAGGTATGATCAAGTTGAAACGTTATTTGCTATCCAACACTCCCAAGAGACAATCTGTGAAATGCAGTTAACAACCAAATCTGAAAGGGTGTGTAGCCATGGAGTATCCTTTAGACTGCAGAATAACTGAGACGGAGACCAATAAAGAGTGTAAGCCTAAAGTAACAAAAACCTCCAAAAGTATAGTAAACATCTCCTACCCCTATGCTAAAACAATCCCTTTCTTCTGCCAAACTTTTCCAATGGTCTGCAAGTAAACTTTTTTACTAGGAAAGACACATTTCCAATTCTATAAAGAACATTAATAAGAAAACAATTTGCAGGGATCCCTGGGTGGCGCAGCGGTTTGGCGCCTGCCTTTGGCCCAGGGCGCGATTCTGGAGACCCCGGATCGAATCCCACATCGGGCTCCCGGTGCATGGAGCCTCCTCCCTCTGCCTGTGTCTCTGCCTCTTTCTCTCTCTCTCTCTCTGTGTGACTATCATAAAATAAATAAAAATTAAAAAAATAAAATAAAAATTTGCAAAAATTCACTTTGTGACCAACTCTGCTAAATCACACCTCTACAACTGACTTCACCCCAGCAAATACTAGAATCAGGTACCAATTGATAGAAATCCACTTTCCGTATGGATTTCCACGTTGTCCTCCCCATCCCTCACAGCTCCTGCTCATTCAAGCCTTCTGGGCACCCCCATCTCTTCCATCTCTCCCACCTAGTGCAGCAGAGCTAGCCACCACCCCACATGCCCCACCTCCAGCCCATCTGCTAACTCTGACCACCACCCCTCCCCAGGTCCCACCTGTTGATAAAGTTGCCCAGGTTGTTAAGCAGTTCAGAATTATTCTTGAGCAACATGTCTGTCCAGGAGAAGGCACTGTCCTGGCCCTCAGGCCGAATGTATAGCAGATAGAAGCGCCAGATGTCAGCAGGGATCCCCGTGTCCTGAGCCATGTCACCAAACACTCCCACACCCCGGCTCTTTGAGAATTTCCCATCCTCATAATTCAGATACTCTGGACAGAGAAGTAGAATAACCATGTGGTCAAAGCACACCCTTCCCTCTGTGACCCACTAACTCTTCCTTCCTCTCCCTCAACCTCAACTATGGGTGTCCAGAAACACTTCTCCTTGAGTAGTGGGCCTGCAAAGAACTTGGGGATCTCTTCTATTCTTGTAGTCTTTTTTTGCTTTGCTTGTATGCATTACAAACTTTTAACTTCAGACTTTTGTTTTCCTCAGTTCTTGTTCCCTTCTTCTAGGTTAAGTTCTCGTGTTCTAATTATATCCTATTTCCTATTTCTCCTTCCAAATACTGCCTCAGCCCTCATTCCCTAGGAACTTCCCCATCTTCAGTCTTCCAGGGTACCTGTAGCAATGAGATGGCTGACCAAGGTATAGTTGTCCTCAGCTCCTAAAGCTGAACAAGGGAAAACTAAGCCGTGGAAGGGAACATTGTCTTTGGCCATGAACTGATACAGGTTCACCTACAGAATACAGTTGGGAGACAAAACTCCTGAGATGATCTTCAAAGGACCAAGAAAAATCAGACACCCAACCCTAACCACCCCAATGCCCTCCCCATGGACAGGGTAACCAAGAACTGCTTACTTGTTCTGGGTTTTTCCACCATCTCTCCCACTGGTCTGTGTAGTTGGCTGTAATGGACAGGTAGCCAATAGTAGCATCAAACCAGACATAGAATACCTGGAGGGCCAAGAGGAGGGAGAGAGAATAGGATGAAGGAACACTGGGAAAACCTCACCAAGCCAGTCTTCGACTGAAGCAAGACATAATTAACAGTCTATTTTGATAGCCCAGGATCTCAACCCAAAGGCAAAATAATATGACATAGGAATAAAGCATAGGGTTTTTACCTTGTCCTCAAAGCCTTCTAAGGGTACAGGGGTTCCCCATTTGAGATCTCGAGTTATGCAGCGTGGCTTGAGGCCATCTCGAAGCCAAGAACGAATGATGAACCGGGCATTGGGTGTCCAGTCACTGCCAGGCAATGTCTTCCCCAACCATTCCTCTAGTCGTTTTTCCAGCTGAGATGGCAGAGAAAGTCATAGGGCCAATTTAGGACAGTCTCACACATGGTTCACATAAGGATAAATATGTACAACCTCTCTGGAGTAGTTTAGTAATAATACAATTAAAAGATTTGTGACTTTGACAGCAATTCCATTGCTAGGAATTTTTGCAACAGAAATACTCGTACAGGGCAGCCCAGGTGGCTCAGCAGTTTAGGACCACCTTTGGCCCAGCACGTGATCCTGGAGACCCAGGATCGAGCCCCTGCAGGGAGCCTGCTTCTCCCTCTGCCTGTGTCTCTGCCTCTCTCTCTCTCTGTCTCTCTCATGAATAAATAAAATAAAATCTTAAAAAAAAAAAAAAAAAAAAAACCTGACCAAATGGGACACCTGGGTGGCTCAGTGGTTGGGCGCCTGCCTTCAGCTCAGGTCGTGACCCCAGGGTCCCAGGATCAAATCCTGCATCAGGCTCCCTGCAGGGAGCCTGTTTCTCCCTCTGTGTCTCATGAATAAATAAAATCTTTTAAAACAACAACAACAAAAAAAACTGACCGAATGAGGGTACCTATGAACTGATACAGTAGGATTTCCAGAACATAGTCAGGTGAAAAAAACAAAACGCAACACAGTATACACCCAGAATGCTGTATTTTGAATGAGAAGAGGAAATAAAACACACACACACAGTTGCTTTATGGATATGTTTACAAAAATAAACACACTAAGAATAAAACCAAAGACAAAAATGATCATCTACAGGAGACGGGAGAACAAGGCGGCATGAACAAGAAAGGGAATGACACTTCTCTGAGGATACCTTTTTGTATGGTTTTGATTTTTTTTTTTTTTTGAAGATTTTAGGTATTTAGGTATTCATGAGAGAC